CTTTAGCTCTCTCCAATAAGTGAAAACATGTGGTATTTCTTTTTCTCTGTCTGACTCGTTTCACTCAATATTATTCTCTCAAGGTCCATCCATGTTGTTGCAAATGGCAGTATTTCATTCGTTTTTATAGCTGAGTAGTATTCCATTGTGTAGATATACCACATTTTCCGTATCCACTCATCCGATAGAAAAGTCCATCTTGGTGAACATTCTACTTCAGTTATACCTGAATGGAATCATGATAACTAAGATTTTTGGGTAGAGTGATGACATTATAGTTCACAACTTTTATCCAAAGTGTGATTATTACCCATAAATGAGAAGTGTTTGGCTATTTACCATGCATTTCACAAATCCTGTGAAGTAAGCATTATTATTCTCAATTTAAAGGTAAGGAAACAGATTTGTGCAGGGGCCACAGTAAGAAATAACAGCACCTGGCCCAGCCCCGTGGCTCACTCGAGAGAGTGCGGCGGCGCTGGTAGTGCCGAGGCCGCGGGTTCGGATCCTATATGGGGATGGCTGGTGTGCTCACTGGCTGAGCATGGTGTTCACCACACTGTGCCGCCAGCCCCGTGGCTCACTCGAGAGAGTGCGGCGGCGCTGGTAGTGCCGAGGCCGCGGGTTCAGATCCTATATGGGGATGGCTGGTGTGCTCACTGGCTGAGCATGGTGTTCACCACACTGTGCCAAGGGTTGTGATCCCCTTACCAGTCAAAAAAAAGAAATAACAGCACCTGGATTCAAATCCAGATCTCCAGGCTCGGATTCTGTGGTTTTGTTTTTCCCCCCTCCTACAAGCAGATGGTTGTATTCATTTCCTCATTCTGCCTCTTCTCAGAACTCCTTCACTTCCTACTTCTTCCTTCCCATCCTTCTTTATTCATTCCAGTTAATCTTCCCTTCTTATCCTTGGTCACTGCACTCTGAGCTAATTAGCTCAATGCAAATAGTTAGACAAGTATGTTTACTGAGCTTGGAAGCACATGACATTGAGACCAGGCCAGCTGGTGTCCTCCCAGTGAGAAGCAGCAATGATAATGATTTTATCCATAATCACTGATATTCATTGCAACTTGGCAGCTTCTGTGTCAGGTTCTTAATATTCTATGTGCTATCTCATTTAATCTTCACAACAACCCAGTGAGGTGGGTGTGGTAGACATTGGTTGGGTTTGGACTGTCTAGTGTCCAGTCCCCCTTCTCTTCTCTTGGTAGCTGCACCCCAGTTACTTAAGGGCTTTCCCTCCCTGCACCTTTGGATACAGTTTGGCAGAATTGTCAGTCAAGGTACCGGCCCAGCCCTCCCTGGCCAAGAAGTGGGCATGTGAGCCAAACTAGGCCAGCTATACTTTCCCTTCCTGGAAATAGAAGAATGAGCAATGGTTTCAAGATGGGAAATAGTCGATGCTCACTCATTTCCACATCAGTGGGGCCCCAACAGAACTGCCGAGTATCCTGTCCTATTGCGATCGTTTAGGCTGCCCGGTTCTTGTCCATTTCTGAGTCTCATTCTCTAATCTCCCTGTCCAGTTTGGAAGCTCCCGAGAACCTTCCCATTCAATTCCTTTTTTCCTATAGTTAATCATATCTGTTTCTGTGGCTGCAACTCAGTATTCCTGACTGATAGGGTGGGTGGTCACATCCCCATTTCACAGACGAGGAAGCTGAAACAGAGATCGAGTATCTTGCCCAGTCTCCCAGCTAAGCACTGTGGGACTGGGTCTGACCCAGACAATCTGACTGAAAGCCTGAGCTCCTAACCCCCAGGGTAGACGTCCTACCCAGCCTGGACCTACATTTAGGAATCCGGATTCCTCGTCCCAAGAACAAAGTTTTACCTCATAAAGGAAGCTTGTTCAGGGGATCTCCTTATTTACTGTATAAAAGCAGATGAGATCACCACCAAAGGTATTGGGCCTGGTTCCTATCACGTGTGTAAAGAATCCTTCAGTCTGCTGTGTTCACTGAGCATGATTATAACAATAGTAATGACAATAATGGTGTAATACACATACGTGGGGATGTCTGGGATATGGAGACCTCAGGGGACAGACTGATTGCCACCTTCACTGTTAGGATTTTGTTGTTCTCCGGGGCCTTCTCATGTTGTTCCATATACAGATCTGCAGGTTTATATCCAGCACAATGGCATGGACTCGTGGCATTGTTTTTGGCATATTGTGCATCTTTGGCTGTCTGTCTTGTTCCCTTCAATCCCTTTCATTGTTTTCCACAGGTCAAAATAAAATTAAATCATTCATTGTGGTTTCTGGACTTATTTTTCCTATGATAGGAGAAAGCCAAGGCTGAAGGACTTTGGAACCTTTTTCTACCCTTGGAGTCTGATCCTGAGAGAAAATACGGAGCAGGACTGACCAACATGGAGTATGCACATCTGTGTGAACTCATGGGCACGTCTCTTCACGCTCCCGAGGTACCTTCAGTGAGCGAGAATGTCCTACTCCTCCATAAGAACATCTCCCCACACTCTGCCAGTCACTCTTCTTCTTTTTTTTTTTTCGACCAGCAAGGGGATTGCAACTCTCGGCACGGTGTGGTCCGCACCACGCTCAGCCAGGGAGCGCACCAGCCATCCCTATCTAGGATCCAAACCCGCGGCCTCGGCGCTCCTAGCGCTGCACTCTCCCGAGTGAGCCATTTGGTCACTCTTCTGCACAAATAGAAAGACTGGATTCAGAAAGAGGACAACTGCAGGCAGGTGGCTGAAGCTGGAGCCAGAAAGCAGCTCAGGGGTGGGAGTCACTCCAGAAGATGGGAGCCATATGAGGCCCCAGCCCCTGGCTCCAGTCTCCTCTCAAACAAAGAGGGGAACCATGACTAGACCTAGGGGGTCTAAGATTCTGTATTCAAAATGTGTGTCTGGGCATTTCTTAGGGGAAAGGAATAACTTTCGTGAGCTTGTCAGAGGGTCCGTGACTCTTGGAAGGGGTCCTGCTCCATTGCTTCTAGGGTATTTGAAGTTTTAAATATGGACACAGGAGCCACTGTTGTGCTTTTTCTCCTTTTTCAGATATTTAACTGCTCTGCTCCTGACACGGGCAACATGGAGCTTCTGGTGCGGTATGGCACTGAGGAGCAGAAGGCCCGCTGGCTGCTCCCTTTGCTGGAGGGCAAGGCCCGCTCCTGTTTTGCTATGACCGAGCCCCAGGTACCTCACTTGGGCACCCACTTGCTGCGCTCCATCTGGTCTCTGCCCCACAGGGAACTCAGACTGTTGGCAGCTCTAACTGAATGTGTTCTCACTCAGGTTGCCTCATCCGATGCCACCAACATTGAGGCTTCCATTAGAGAGGAGGATGGCTTCTATGTCATAAATGGTCACAAGTGGTGGATCACAGGTATTTGGCTTGAAATTCACTTTGCAAGCACACAGCAGTGAGTCTGTGTTGATAAGCATGTCTCTCGATGCCGGGAGGGGCTGGCTTCTTTTCCAGTTGACACAGAGGAGATCTGTCTCTCTGTGCTGCAGCAGAGGTGGCAAACCTTAGTAGAGCAAGAGAGTGCTGCATGGAGCACGCTGTTTGTTCTCCAGGGCTTTTTCACGGGGGTGGAGATGTCGCCAGATGACCACACGTGACAGGCTCCCCCATGCGCACCCGACTCTGGGAATCTCTTTACTCCCCCTTCTCCATTCCGCCTCAGGCTGCTCCCTTTAGAAAGGCGGAAGTCACTTCCTGGGTGGCTTCCCCTTGCTCCTAGGTCAGGTGTGTTGCATCCTAGGGGCTAATGATAATCTTGCTGTTTATGGGATGTCACCTCTGCAGGGCCCTCTGTAAGTACTCATGGAGTCCCTGCACTTCTCCAGAAGCTAGGTATTATCATATCCATTTTGCAGAGGTGAAAACTAGCACTCAGAGAAGCGATCAAAGTCACTTGCCTAAGGTACTAGCCCCCAGCTGGCAAGTAGGGAACCCAGAGTTAAAGGTTTGCTTAATGCCGAGGTCCACGCCCAAAGCCATTTTGTTTACATCACCTGTGGGAACAGAGCAAAACAGGCTGGCAGTGATAAAGTAGCAGTTTTCAGCCTCTTGTCTCTAAATATATTTTCAACTCTACACAATGCTTTTTAAAAAAAAATTCCTCTTAAGATGTATTCATTCCTCACTGGGACCAAAACCAATTTGCTCTTATTTCTGGTCAAGAGCCTGCAGATGTTCATCTGATTATGTGAAGTTTTAAAAGCTCTCCCTGCTTTCCCTCTCCTGGGCCAGGACCATGTGTGTAAGGACATGTGATGGCCCTGGCATCAGATCACGGGGGTCTGTCTCTCTCCTTTCCTGGCAGGCATCCTGGATCCTCGCTGCCAACTCTGTGTGTTTATGGGAAAAACAGATCCGCATGCCCCGAGGCACCGGCAGCAGTCTGTGCTCCTGGTTCCCATGGATACCCCGGGGATAAAAATCATACGGCCTCTGACGGTATATGGACTGGAGGACGCTCCAGGTCAGGCCTCCCGGGAAATGGCTTTGGGCAGCCCTTGCTCTAGTTCAGGTCATACCACATCCCACATCTGAGGGTACGATGACATTTGGAGGGCCACATGCTCCTGCATTTCATTTCCATATGTGAATATCAACCACATAGGCAGATTTCAGACAGGCATTTACACATTTTTTTTTTTTTTACTCTTCTAAACTCAGAAGATAAGCAGGAGTCTGTGACACAAGGAAGCTGCACATGGCAGAGGCAGGAGGCAGGAAGTGTACCCCAGACCTTCTCTTCTGCTCCCCATGTGGACAGCTGACCTCCAGCCCACAGCCCCACTTTGGTCTTCTCATGGGGTTCCTGGATAACAATGTTCACATTTTTACTTTTGGTGTTCCATGAGATCACTACATTGTTAAATGAGTCAGCAACTACTAGGGAGTTTCAGCTTAAGGTAATGTCATTATGTTATATAAAAGGAATGGCACGATATTCATGCCATTATAAATCAGGATTAATTTTCCATCTTTAATAGACTCCTTCCTGCCCTTTAACCATGTCCCAGTTAGAAAGCTAACCAAGGGGACTGGCCCGATGGCGCACTGCTACAGTGCGCCGCTTGGGAGCGTGGCGGCGCTCCTGCCAAGGGTTCGGATCCCACATACAGACCGGCCGCTCACTGGCTGAGCAAGGTGCGGGCGCAACACCGAGGGTTGCGATCCCGTTGCCGGTCCCGGTCCGGTACGGGCGTGACACTGAGGGTTGCGATCCGTTGCTGGCCACGAAAAAAAGACAAAAAGGGAAATAAATAAATAAATAAATAAATTTAAAAAAAAAAAAAAAAAAAAAAAAAAAGCT